TCGAGTGGGTTCTGTGGGCCGCCTTCTTCCCTTGGCGTCTTTTTTTCCCCCCACTCATTGAAGTGCGCTTCAAAATTGCCCTCATTAAAATGTCGCCCTTTTCTGCATAGAAGGGAGTCGCATTTGATGTAGTCAGGAGACCTAAGGTTCACCTATTTTGATGCATCTCTTTACAGTCTCATCGGTCGTATGGTCTTTGCATTTGAAGCCATTTTACGTGGTCTATGTAAGCCAAAGTCACTTTCACTTGTGTTATAGAAGTAGCCGAAAGTGGATTTTAGTGCATTTTGTAACCCCTAACACAGTCCCCCTCCAGTAGCTGTCATTTGCAGTCCTCTTCGGTCATTTGCTCGCTTCGTTTTAGTCGCCTTTTTGTGCATTAGAAGGACACTTTATTTTCATCCTGTCACTGGTCACGTCTTTGAACGTCAAGGTGGAAACACTTTTCAGCCTTTTGGAGCATTTCTCATTTTTATGCATTCCACCATCTAGCCATTCGTAACAAAGACACGTGTCGACTTTATCACCGAGTCAATTTGGACTCCCTTTGCAAGGGCTAGAGGGAGCTGTTTCTAACGCAATCGCAAAGTGTAGACAATGCTGTAGTTGGTGGGAAAGTTCATTTATTCGTAAGTGCACCGTAAATTCACTACATTCGTTTGATCATTCCTCCATGCCTTCTTCGCCATTTGAATGCCAATTGTACCCTTTCATCAACTTGATACTAGCGAGAGGGAAGGAGGGAAACTGCGTGTGTGTGTGTGTGAGAGAGAGAGAGTAAAATGGACCTCTGTTTTTGTTACTGTCCCATTTACCAAACAGTCTCCATTGTCCCCGTTTTAGCATCCATTTCGTGTTCACACTCTCTGATGAAGCGGGAACATAAAGAGGGAAATAAAAGTACACATAACTTTAATATTCACTTGCTTATTTACCAGGTAATCAAATAATGCATTGGTGTGTTGTGCTGCTGGTCAAGTGGAGTGTGCTGTCACTGCTGCTCCTCTCCACGATGCAAATCTTTGAGGATTCATGTTTTGACCTTCACTAGTATTTGCAGTTGGTCCTCTTGTGGACTCCCTTCTAACAGCATTAAAAATAGTTGCGTTAGTCAATCCATGGAGGCGGTGAAGGGGTGGATGACCTACGATGTGAATTGCATGAACCGAACTTCGGTTCTCACCAATATGAGGCAGTGAGTGCTTGTGCAATGACTTGTTTTTTTTTTTAGTCTTTTTTGTTAATTTTTCCTTATGGAGGGCATTAGTCATGCCACTGAGTGCTTTTGAATCCAGAGGTGCTCTCTCAGTCATCGAATTGGTGGATGGTTCAATTGCAATTTGCTGTGACAAGTTGACAGCGTTTGATAGCAGTGGAGCATATCTCTCTCCTCCTTATCCTTTTAATAAGTCTCATCTGTCAAGTTTACTATTTACAACTTAATTGTCAACTGCTCTCCTACGCGACATCTACCTCCGAGGGTGATGAATTTGTTTTAAAGCGTTTGATTACAAACATTTGGTCACCACATTGTCTCTGTCATCCTCCCTTTCCACCTTCACCATTTCCTTCAGTACTTTCTCCCCTTGAAAATGAAGAAAGCCTCGTCTTTACGCCCCTACATTGTTTTTTTGTCTGGATTGAAGCGAATCCATAAGGGGCCCTAAATCGAAGTAATCTTTCCCTCAAAACAAGTCTCCTGTCTATTGAGGGTTGTGAACTTCCTACGGTACTCTGCGGGTGCATCATGCAAAAGCATCTGTGATTTGGTGTGGGATCCGGTTTCGCATTTCTACACCCACACGCACACATCAGGCGGTTGACAGCTCTGTGCATCACTTGCTTCGCTGAAATAACTTGTTTAGGAGTGTGGGACATTACTCACGCCAACGAAAACAAGTGGAACCGTCGTGCAGCAGTTGCTAAGTGATCAACTGAAGTGTTTATCCCCTTAAGTGCTCACAATCGGATTTGGATGAGAGAATGAGTTGACTGATAAAAATGTAGTTATGACAAGGTGGACTTTTAATTTAGTTTGCTCCTTCCAACGTCGTAAATTAATCTACTCACATACATCGCCTAGGTTATCGTTGCAAAACAATTAAATCTTCATGTAGATGATGGAAAGAGTTGTACTGCTACTTGCTTCTACAACAGATTGCATCGTCCTCCCTCCCCACTTCGCTCCACGTTTCCACTCTGGGCACATCTCAAACATTCGTTGTATCGCCCTGTGTCATCAGACAGGCCTACATCACCTGCAAACTCAATATCTTGTGTCTGGTGGTGGCCGTGGGATGCTGGTTGTCTGGCGTCTGGACGAGACTGATCAACCAGGTCTCGTTGGGTGGGTTCGCCTAGACACAGGTCTTCGTGACTCTGGTCCTCTTGTCTCCTGTCCCTTTCAACAGAGACGCAACGATACCCTTGAAGTCTGCGATCTGAGGATTATGGCTGTTCTGGCATTTCAATCGAGTGAGGAGGACACCATCAGTGTCGTTGCCGCTTGCTCTGATGGCAGTATTAGGTGAGACTAGTTTATTATTTTGTTGCTTGAACTTTGTCCACCTTAGCAGGTGGCAGATGTGTTAAATGGTGCTATTAGTAGCTCGATATGGAAGTTGTCACCTTTTCTCCCCCACATCTCTACGGAAGTAGCTGAAGGTGGCAGTTGTTGTTCCCTTTTGAGGCATTTGAGTCTTGTTATACACCAGTAATTGGGGCGGAGTAGAAGTGCAAAGATCAGATATGTGTGCATACGTGTTTGTGGTGGAAAACTGCGAGAAGTTGGGTTGTTAGAAGGGAACTCTTTGAAGTGGACAAAAGTGGATGTGTTGATTCATCTCATGTGTACACTCACATGAGGCAAAAATCAAGATGTCGGTGTCTCGTTTGAACATTTTCCACATCCTTTCAATGCTGTTTAGTTCTATCTGAGGCCTTTTATATGCCTCATAAAATTAGCATCTCTAAAAATAACCAATTAGGTTCTGGAGTCGTAAATTTTGGTGCTTGGAGTGTTACCATGGTTCATTTTCAAGGTTCTCCTCTTCATTCCTTGGGATTGTGATTGTAGCCGGCTGTACGATTTCTGCCTCACGTAGGAGGCTATTTTTGGACTTTCAGCACACCCTCCGCCTAAGTCTCGCGTCTTCAAAGCTTGACATTGTAGGTGAGCCCTTCAAATTGCCATCGTTCACTTCGCAAAGTTGGAAGCTATGGGAAAAGCCCTTTTTGTAGTCCTTCCTCTCTAAAATTGTGTCCATTGCTACGCTTTGCCAATTCATGCCTTGCAGCAACCAGTACATTCATTGCCAAACTCTGCAAGACAAAAGTACTGTCACAGTTGCAATGATCTGCCCGTGTTCCCAATTCTCGCCAAGTTAATGCATAAAACTCACGGTTTGGTGCTCGTCTTTGTGACACACCAACCTTGTCGTTCAAGCTACGTGACACTGAATGCACCCTACGATGCGGCATTCTCTGTCACGTGGGTATCTCCGTCGCATCAATCACCAACTCTTACCTCACGACCTTGGCACCCACCTGGAACTTTGTACGTAGTCATCCACGCTCCACTTTTTATTGTGGTCATTCGAAAAAAAAAGAGAAATCACAACAAGACCTCATCAGTTGGAAGTGTAATCCATGGGTAGTTAAGTGATCTGGAGCGCAGACTGGCTCCTACCTCCGCCGAGACAGGTCGTCTAACAGTTCACATGCTCCATTGACACAAGTTGTCACGAGCTCCTGTGACGACATTGAATAAAGGTCACCAGAAAATGTACAAAAAAAAA